TGATTAGAGCTGCAATATGCTGTCTGAGCCATTAGGACAGCGGAGCAGAAATAAGAATAGAAGTCTTGACCAATACAGGGAGGAGAGAGGGAAATTGAAGGAGAGTATGAAAAGAATGAAGGTGGAGATTAGAAGCTCAGCCTTTTTGAAAAGGGCACATATAATGCCACAGGAATGCAGCACAAGTCTTGTAGGAGTGGGCTAAATATCTCTGCATTAATGAGACCGAGTCTCTATCTTCTGCTAATGGCCATCTTTTCATTCCTTCTAAAGTTCGACATTTAGGACGTGTATTCACTTTCCTGCTGAAAGTTAGCTGTGAAGACCGATACCACTCATATTTCCATTTGGTAAATATCTCTGTATCTGGAGCCAGCAGCCAGTTCCTTGATTAGCGTAAAGGCAGGGAGCAGAGGGACACAGCTAACGTAGCTCCGTCCAAAATCCACCTACTGTATGAGCACCTCTAAAGCTCACTAATTAACATCTTATATCTTGTTTGTTTAGTCCGTACATAGTACATATTTTATCATTTGAACGGACAAACCAAACACTGGCTGTGTGGACAGGGCTGCTTACCTTTCTCGCAGCCACCATAGTTTCCTCTTCGCACATGGAAGGGGAGGATGAAGCAAGGGGGTTCCAATCTGCAACTACATCTCTAGATGTAGTTATTCAAGGGCAGTCTGTGTTAACCTCTGTTGGCCACAGCAGTCATTGCTTGGTACAAACATAAAAGTGGCTCATCTAACTCTTTGCAAGAGAGCAAATAAGCATATTTCCCACAATGTCAAACCACTTTTCTATACAGTGGCTGATAAATACATGCGTCTACTTTGGACATTTTGTGCTTTTATTAGATTAGTCAGTGGATGTTTGATATTTAAAAAGAAGGGAGAGATAGATTGGGAATGACATGCAACAAAGATGGCCAGCCAAACAGGGGAACGGACAGTTTGAGGTTAGAGCTCCAGAGTTCCCCATGCTTTGCAATTTGTCGTGAAGTTCCTCTCCTGAGCAAAATTTTTACATTCCAGCTAACTTTTCTACATTAAAGCCACTATTTCAGTCACATCTTTCCTCCACCGTCACATACCTGATTCTCTCTCATCGTATCAGCAACCATTCCCCCAATTTGTGGCACAATTATTTCTTTCCCAAACTTAACTTCAGTCTCAGCTCCTTTCCCCCTCCCTGCCTCCCACTAACCTGTTACTCCTTTCACTCATTATTATTACCGTCCACCCCTCCTGCTTTTTTCACCCTGTACATATTATTGGCTTCGAGTGTTCACCTTGGTGTTCTGACTCATCCCTTTTCAGCAAACCGACATTGTGCTTGTGTATTGTGTATGTATGTGCCCTCCCCCACTGTGTATGTGCATATGAGGGCGCGCGTGCACAGGTTATGGTATTGTCTGTGGTAAGGGATGCAGCCTGACGCACTGGCTGACGTCATCAAAGGCAGAGGCAGGATATGTTTTTTTTTTTATGAAGAAATCTTCATCTGTCAATGAAGAGAGCGGAATAAGGAACAGAAAGCCACCATGGATCTTGGTCTTTTTTGCGTCCCTAATTGGTTGCGCATGTAACAGCCTTATGTGTTTCGATCACTTGAGATGTACAGTGTCTAGGCAACCGTGGTGATTTTTATGTCCATTAAAGTCTGCCACCTTTCCCTGTCCCCTTCTGCATGACTCCATCTGGCCAGTGTCTAAATGTGAGGCTGCAGGGAAGTGTGCAAAAAGTGTGTGTTTGCAAGTGTGAGTCAGTAAACGTGTAAGTATGTTGGTCACATATCAGCTCAAACAAAGATACTGTAGATTTGTTATCCAAAACCCAATATGTCCAATTCTTATGTCCGCCCACATCTTCTCTGTGTTAACAAGCAGTTGTCTCTGCAGTGTGGCACGCCCAGCAAGACTGTTGTGTATGTGAGTTTTTTTCAATACGCTCTTTTTCATGCCAATGCTGTTCTATTTTTGTCTCCCCTCCTCTTCTTCACAGTTCATCCTCTCATCTTTCCATTATGCTTAGTCTCATTCATCCACCCCTCCCTCCTCTCCTCCACTTTGCCTGTTTTTCAACCTCCTTCTCTGCTTTTGTCCCTCCCACCATCCCTCTCTCTTTCCCTTTTCCTCCCCCTTTTCTTTTCTGGAGCTTTATCTCTGCGGTCTCTGTCTCTCCCTCCACCACTCCCTGTCGGCGGTGCGATGATGCTGTCCTGGCCGCCTCCCAAACCGTTTGCCCCCTCGCTCCTCCGCCCCCACACCTCCCTCCCTCCCTCCTGATGCTATAAATACCCAGCATCGGTGAGTCATCGCCGAGACGTATCAGTTGCCTCTCCCTCTGCCTCTCCATCCTTACACACAGCATCCCCCCCCCCCCCCCTCCCCACTCTTCTCCTATCTTCCCCCTCGTGTCTCGCTCTCTCTCTCTCTGCTCAAGCTCATTGCCAGACGTCACACGTTTTCCCACCTCCACTTTGGCCCTCGCATCATGATGCCCCAGCTGAGCTAAGCCGGGGCCCGTGCCTGGCATGGTGCAGCCTGTGTTACCGAGCTGCAGCCAAAGGTCATTTTGACACTTCATGACCAAAAACAAAATCAGCAGGAGTGCGCACAATATGGGAGACACAGTCAACCAAAAAGTAGAGCATCACATTCACTAACTTTCCAATTAGATGATGACGAAACACTTACTCCTTAAATGCCCCCAAAGTAACTTCAAAGTCAGATGAAACATGTTTTCCTCTTTAACATCAAATAAGAAGAAATATATTCTGTATCTGCCTGTTCTATTGATTAATTGCTGCTATCTCACATTAAAATGGAGTATAAGACTGAAATCCAAGATTGCCTTAGTACTTCAAAAGAAAAATGTCTCATTTATATATATTTTACTATATCTCAACACAAGATGTTTGGTATCTTTAGTAGCCTTTGAATATGGATTTCAGTTTAAATTAAGGTTCTGTGTGTTTTAACAGAGCTTTATCATACAATATAAGTTTTGCAATGATGGATCTGTCAACCGAGGTTCAATATCTTAAAGGAGTTAATGGAAAAAAAAAAAACATAAGACATTTCAAGGAGCTACTTTAGACACAAGAGTGGCATTTTGTAAAAGAAAGGGCAGCTCATCTTTTCCTATCCTGCTCTATACATCCACAGCTCACATCTCTAACTGTACCTTGCTGTGTCTTATATATCATTTCAACAGTCCAGTGTCATATCTGAGTCCCAGTCCTCCCTGTACCACCATCTTTCAGCCTCAGATGTAATTATTCTCAGTTTTCTCCAGCCACCACCCACCTCACCAGAGTTATGAGGCAGCTCCGGTTCAGCCCCGCTCATCCTTGGGTAAATTCCAACATGGCTTATTGGCTCACACTGGAGTGTGCACATACACTGATAAAAGTTTTTTTTTTGCGCACTTCTGAGTCATAAGTAGACAGGAAGAGGGAGCAAGCAAGGGAGACAGAGAGAGAGTAGGAGATATAAAAAAGTTGGAATAAAGTGTCAGAGAGCAATGAGAAGGCAAGCAAAGAAACACACACACACACACACACACACACACACACACACACACACACACACACACACACACACACACAAACCACATTCATACAATAAGGAAGATGTCCTCCACAGTTCCCTGCTGCTTGGTGCCGTTGTTGTTATTGTCTTTGTGGTAGAGACACATGTGTGTATGTGTGTGTGTGTGTGTGTGTGTGTCTGCGTCAGAATCAGTGGGCTAATGAAGGGAGCATTATGCCTCTGACGCACTCTCTGGTCCCATAGGGTTGGATGGAGGGAATACAGACGAGAGGAGGGGTTAGAAGAATCACTCATCTCTCTGTGGTCTTATAGCTACTGTTTTATTTTAAATGAAATGCAAAAGCAGGAACCACCATGCAGGATTTTAACCACCCATGTTTCTTAAGATTGCTTTTTACGTGAGTGGTTTGTTAAAGATCCAGTACTAAGCTCAGTGTAATGTGTGTTATAGTTTCATATGCATTGTGATGTGTGTTAAAAGCCCAAGTTCAGCACGTATTGGGTATTATTAAGATTTACATACACAATATATTAGACAACTTTTATGTACTGTGAAGCCGTGACGCAAAATATGATACAACAAATTTTCTACAGGAAATTAAAATAATGACCTGTTCTACAGTGTGTTGCTGATTACAGCTGAAACAACTAGTCCATTCAGCTACTAGTTTATTGACAGGAAATTAAGTTCTGTTCAGTTTTGCTAAATAATAAATTATGATATTGTTTGTCTTTTTTTAAAAGAAAAAATACCAAGACTTCCGAAGCTTTCCAAATTTCAATATTTAGTCTTCTATGATAGTAAACTAACTTTTGGACCTCGGACAGACAAAAAAAGTCATTTAAATATGTCAGCTTAGGCTCTGGGAAACTGTGATGGGCATGTTTCACTATAGAAAAATCAGTAGATTCATTCATAATGAACACCTACAGCTGGAACTAAACACTGGTGTAAATCAGGGCCTAATATCTGAGATTAATCGATCCTCTTTATCCTAAGAAGTGCGTACTCTGTTAAAATGCCGGACCCAGGTTTATTCAAATACGTATGGCAGCAGGATAGCAGGTGTACACGGAAGGAGCAGTGAGCCGAGCTTGTTCCTTTTAATAAATGAATCGATTGCACGTCTTTGACTCAGCGTTGTTGTGAAAAATACTGAAAGGAAAAGAAAATCCTTTGTTTACTAGCTCTGATTGAAGGTTGACTCCAAGAACTGCATGTTCCATTTGCGTCGACCCACCACACAGTCTCTCACAAACCACATTCGCTCAAGCACACACACACACAGACATCACTGGCCTTCGTTGCCATAGAAACTCTGGTTTCAGGATGATTCTAATCAAGCTGCTGATTGTATCAGTCACACTTTGTGCCTTACAGATTTGCATTCAGGTGTTTAGCACGCACCAACACACCTCTAAAAAACACACAAAGCAGCAGTGACAGTAATTACAACACAAACTTTTTTATTTCATTACATATTTTTCAAGGCCAAATCACAAATAAATAAAAGGAAGGAGACACTTGCAATAACCTGACTTGCTGGGTCACTTAACCACACAAAACAAGGAGGAGATCCCCCCCCCCAAAAAAAATGGTCAGTAACAAAGATTATTAAATATGTTAGCAGGATACTTTACAACTGTACAATTATTGGTAGATTGAATGTAGTTTGATCACTGATCCCCTCCTCTCTCAACTTATTTACAACCCAAGCAACAAAAAAAATAAAACAACAGCGAAGGTAAAAATTCATCTTCGCACCACCCGCTGTCTTTGCCTCGCCATTGGATGTACAAATGGGTGTATTAGGACATGGACATGTGTGCTATCAACAAAAACCCAGGGAGCGCTTCACATTCTTAAGACCCCTGAAGACAGCTCATGTGTGTCAGAAGGCAACTAGCTGCCTCTAGCCAGGCAGAGGAAAAGCAGCAAAACAGCACATTAAGCTACTGACTTTCCACTGAAATGTCAGGAGAGAGACACGTTATAAAAAAACAGGAAGGGAGGAATGAGTTCCCACCTCGTCATGACAGCGTTTGTCAAATTTGTACATGCTAAAATAACCCCCTTCTGCGTTGAGCCAGTAGACATATGATAAGAGAAGTAGTTCGAGTGAGTGCCTGTACCTGTTATCAATGCTAAATGTCTTCAGTTAATGCAAAGCAGGATTTCTGCATACCGAGAGGGCAGCTGTGGGACAGATGTTGCCCTTACAAAGGACCACTGACCGAACATTATTTCATCTTCTGCCCATTGAGAGAAGAAATAAAGACTGAAGCAAGGGTGTCCTTCATACAGAGAATATCCCCACCAATCTGAAAGCCTACAGTAATGAATGTATAGAATATTGTACAGGAGTTTAAATAAATGGCAGTTGACCTTTTTATATACATTGCACATACAGTAACATACACATAAACCAAATTGAAGACACAGAAATGTTACTCGCACTCTATGAGGTCAAGTGAGCTTTTGCTATATTACTCACTATTAAATAAGGAGTGTGTTCATAAGGAGTTTCTTCAGTTGTTCGACTGGAGTGCGACTCTCGTTTTTCTCTCAAATGCATATTCAAGCGCTTTGGTACAGTCGCACGCTTTTCATCATGCGATTTCTACAATGCCAAATATGAGATTTTTTTTCACTTTACAGTCTTATTAAAAAGGACATTACATTATTTAGCACAGTACGTTCAAGTGGGCTACATCTAGACTTCCCTGTCAGTGTCTCTCTACCATCCTCTTCTTTATTCCTATGCTGATGTCCCCTACAAGTCTTCTAATATGCACTGAAGTGGACAGGCCTAAACATTCATACACTATGGAGGGGCTTCTGTATGTGCGTTTTTCCTTCCTACATACTTTTTAAAATTTGTGTATAAATATTGCACATTCATTTTATATTTCATATTTAGAAGTAAAAAAAAAAAAGGTAACAGCAGCTATGTATTCGTAACCTATGGCAAAAAAAAGGATAAAATGTACAGAAACTGGGAGGAACAACCACTGAAGGCTAACTATTTTCCTACAGGCTACCTTCCCTTGGAGACGTCCATGCGATGCATTGGTCATGACTGGAGGAATACGTGGCAGATGTGGCAGGGCTACAGTATGTCAACGGACTAACAGAATAACCAATAAGACACAGGTTGGGAGGCATCCAGGGGCTGCTAAGACATTGAAAAAAATTTAAGCTTGGGGGGGGTTAATGAGCAGGAATGGAAAAAATTCTCAATGGTTGCCTTTTACAATTGATGTTTGACCCTGCTGCAAAGGCCGAAAGCAGAAGGGACTGAAGACTTCTACTTGTCAAGTCAGTAAACACACACTCAAAAAGTACAAACTTTGGAACACAGGCAAATAAGGGGAGATATAGACAAAAAAAAAAAAGCTAGTAAACAAAGTTCATTAAAATATAATTAGCGTAAACAAATTGGCAATAAAAAACAGGAGGATAAAGAAATAAAAACCCTCGGAATAATGCACCCATAAAATAATGGTAAAAAAAACAATAGAAAATGTTTCCTTTAATAATGCTCAATCTCTCATGGCCGCCAAATCCTTACACACACAAAAACACTCATCAGATTGGTTTCGAAGCTAATAAACTAAACATGGAGGAAACATAGCATCACAGATTTAAAAAAAAAACCCCAAATAAAATCAATTTAAAAGATTTAACGAGATCCCTGCATAGATTCCAACCTGAATGTTACTTAAAGCCCAGGCGGGATCCCTCTATCGGGCTCATGCTACCCCCATTTTCCTGCCAGGTATCTGCACTATCAGTCCAAGACCATGCTGAACTGGTGGGAGGCTCCAGAGAGCAGGGGGGCAGGAGAAGGAGAAGCAACAGAGAGGGTGCGCTGACACTGATCCAGACACATCTAGCCTGACATTTTGTTTCACTTCGAGTCATGCAGACGTCTGACTCCGTGTGCTGCCTCGGTTGTCATAGCAACTTAAAAGGGCTAGATCCGTCAAAGATGAGCGGCGAGTTGCGTTGCACCGTGCACGTTCTTGGCTGGTTTCAGTAGTCTGTGTGGGACCTTTCTGCCTTCTGGTCTTCACAGAGAGCATTAAGCGGGATTCAAGTTTGTTTTTTTTCTTCCCCCCCTCCCTCCCTCCCTCCCTCCCTCTGTTGATCGAAGCTGGTCGCAGGGAAGCCGAGGAGGTGGTGCATGAGGCGCTTTATGTGTCTGTATTAATGTGTGTGAGTGTTAACGTTATCTTATGTTGAACTCCTCTGCAAGTAGCCCTGGTAGTGGCTTCTGAGCTCCTTGTGTATGTGTGCAAGTATACATGTGTATGTGTTTCCGTGTTGTTTTGGAGTGTGTCTGTGGGTTATTTTCCACCGTACATCCTCTCAATGTCTTCCTGGTAGTGTGTTTTAAGCTCCTTGCGTTTTAGTTTGAATGCGTCAGTGACCAAGCCAGTTTCTGGTGTCCAGGGCTCAGCACTCAGACGGATCTTCTTGGGGATCTCAAATCGCTCCAGTTTTCCTAGTTGGAGGGGAGGGGGGGAGAGCAGATTCACAAGTCAGAGTGACAGATACAGTGAAATACAAGTGCAAGTGTAGCACAAGGCAGACACTATCGCACCAAATCTGAGCTGATAATTTGACAGAAAGTGTATCACTAGTTGCACAACTTTAATCAGAGATTTTCTCTGAGTGCATAAGCAGGGCTGTATAAGTGAGGGAGACAGAAAAGCCTTTTTTCCCCCCTACCTGATATAGCAGCCTCAGTGATGATGCTGAGGACCTCTTTCTCCATCTGGGGGTTGTTGCAGATCTCCTCCATCGTGCCCCTCACCTGCATCTGCTCTGCCACCGCCATTAGCTGCTTGTGGTTAGGCACCACAAAGCTGATCACGTACGACTGGTCACTAAAAAAAAAAAAAAAGATCACAAGTTTAGTTCATTCAACATTAAGGAGTGAGAAATCAAGCTATAGCTAAAGACACCGGCTGGAATTTTAATGTGAATAAAAATAAAAAAAACTTCGCTAATAGGAAAAAGTCTGGAGGAAACAGAACAGGAAGTGAGTAGAGGATTATACCTGTTGGCGTAGGCACAGATGTTGTCTATGAGTGAGCAGTTCTTCAGAACAGCCTCCACTTTTCCTAGAGAGACGTACTCGCCTGCCTGCAATTTCACCAGGTCCTTCTTACGGTCTATCGAAAGAGAACACAAGTCACAATCCCAATATACGTACCACTTGTACCACAACCACACACGCACAATGGTTGGTGGATCTCTTACCAATGATCTTGAGGCATCCGTCAGGGTGGAACTCTCCGATGTCTCCGGTGCAGAACCATCGCTGGCCGTTCCCATCCACAAAAAAGTCATCGCGGTTCTTAGTTTCATTTTTGTAGTAACCCATCGTCACGTTGGGACCACCAATCAAAATTTCCCCCCTTGGGTTTGGTTTGTCTGTGCTGTAGTAACCACCTGGAGGAGCACAAACCTGATTAGACACAAAATATCAATGCGTTGGTTCGCCTTCTCTGAAGCTGCCACTTGACTCACCCTCCTCCCAGTCCTTCAGTGTGATCTCAGAGCAAACCAGCGGAGCACCAACCCGTCCTGTGCTGTAGTCCCACACTGAAAAAAACACCAGCAAAAAAAAGTCATGACGTAGCATTGGCAAATAACTACATATCAAATTCTTTACATTTGCTCCTTTACCACATAGGGTAGAAAAAACAACCGCTCTCTCTTACTCTCACTGATGGTGCCAGCTCCACAGGTCTCTGTCAGGCCGTAGCCCTGGCCCACGGGGCAGCACAGGCAGATGTTCATGAAGCGCTGTGTGGCAGCCGAGAGTGGAGCTCCGCCAGAAAGCAGCACCCGCGTGTTGCCTCCCAACAGTGCACGCACCCTTTTGAACACCAGACTGAGGGGGAGGAGGAGGACAAAAATGAAAAACCGACAGCATGGAGATGATGAGAGATGGGTGGAGGAGACTCGGACGAAGACTGAATAACTAATTTAGACTATTCCAGAGTTAGGAATAAATCTACATTGCATCTAGATATTGACTTTGCTGTAGAACTGCTAACATTAATCAGTGCTATACAATGATTCACATATGCTAGAGAACCATTCCCCTTTGTAGGGGACACAGTGTTATCAAGTATTGGTTCTAGGTTATGATTTGCCATGTAGTAGCAGAGGTTAATGTGTGCTCAAGTATCACAGGGGAAGCAAATGTCAACCGAATGGGCTTTGCTGTACTCTGCTCGTGTACTGTATGTATGAATATAATATGTGTATTACCTGTCACAGAGAGGTGTGCTGTAGCCCCTGGAGATCTGCTCCATCTTGTAGTTATAAGCCAGCACAAAGAGTGTCTTCTGGAATTTGCTCATCTCCTCCACTTTGGTCATCACATTCTTGTAGATTCGATCCATGATCTCCTGCACGCATCAGGCGGGAAAAATCTCAGTTAACACTGACATTTTAAGTCTATATGCCTATGTGGCTGTTGTTTGTTATTCATGTTATTTGATTATTACAAGTTCTGACTGTAGTATGATAAATGACGTTAGTTAAATTGGATTGATGGGCTTGTGCAGAGATACAAACACTTACTGGTACAGCAGCCATGAGAGTAGGTTTCAGCACGCTAGTATCCCCTTTACTGCCCTTCTTTATCTTGGTGGACTGTGAAAATGAAACAAAACAATTGGTCAATTCATACTGACAGACTGACCTAGGACTGTAGTCAGTGGGTGCCTAACCAGACATGAGCTTTAAAAGTGACCATGAGCCTCTTGAATGGATTCAAGTGAGACCTTACAGAGGACATTAACAAAAACCTAACATTCTACTATCATACACAGATGTTTCATTAAGGCTAGCTACAACAGTCTAAGAAGGATAAAATGAATCCACAAATGATCAGTTCCATCGTAGCTGGAGGGTTGAAGTCTTAGTAATATCTGTAATGCATCCAGGAGAGACATACAACCAAATACCAAGAAAACTGGTGAAAGAAAATGCTAATTAATGCATTTTACATTGTAATTTATTTACATTCATTACATCTGGTGTCGCTAATTTTCCAGGTGACATTAAACCATTGCAGAAGAAGCAGGTACAAGATCAAGTATTTAAATGGATACCACTCAAACAGTTAAAAACAATGTGGAAAACACAATGGAAATATGGCAGTTTTTTCTGTATCGTGTATTAATTAGAGAACTGCTCTTTGGGGGTAGCTTCAGCAGATGTTTGGGGATGAAGTCACATGCTTCATGTATGTCATGATGCATTTGCTTTGTTTGTTTCCATTGTACTTTTTGCTTTGGGTGATACACCAACCTTTCCAACCCAGCCAAGTGAAAAACCTTTTTGCAATATTTTGAGATTTTTTATTTTTTATTTTTTTGGAATTCTTCCACTCGGTTTTTTGTTATGCACAAATTGAAAATGCACAAAAAACAGGTGGATGGAAACCAATCTACAGACTGCAACAAAACCCTTCTGGCCACCCGCTGGATGTTTGTGCTCTTATACACTGACCTGGTCGGCTAGAGTCTGAGGAGAGGAGTAGCCGATGCGACAGCCATGTGAGATGCACACCAGTTCAGCGCTGAGCTCTAATACGTGAGCCAACGGCAGGTAGCCGATGTAGGTGTCTGTTTCACTGCCGGCACAAAAATAACAGCTGGTTAATTTCCACAATAGACAAAGAAGAGAACAAAGGGAAATGTGAGTGAAGTGAGTGTCTGAGGAAAGCAGTGCTGAGAGGAGGAAGAGCATGAGTCGGAGAGTTGCACAACACAAGACAAAGAGAACAGGAAGTGTCAGAGAAATAGCCGTAAATCTGTTATTGGCATACTTGAGGTTTGGAATCCGCTCAGCCATGCCAGTGATTCCAGCAATGATGTTGCCATGGGAGATCATGACACCCTTGGGGATGCCTGTGGAGCCGCTGGTGTACATGATGACGGCGATGTCCGAGGGCTCTGGCTGTCTGCGGTCTACTGCCACTGCAGAGACAGACGAGTGATGGTTAGAACGAAATGGATCGCACAACAATATAAATATCTTTATTAGTTGTAAAAATGTGTTATTAAGAGGCCATTTCTCATTAAAATACAGAAACATACAGTTAAAATAAGTTGATGCTTCTCAAACATCTGTACTGTATGATGTGAGAGGGTCTGCATATTTTATTGTATGGCTGAAACTAATGAATGATTTCATTATCAATTGATCTATTGATTATTTTCTCAATTAATTGAATCTATAAAAAAAAGTGAAGACGCATGTTTGGCTCAACCAACCATACAAAAGCTATCTAATTTACAATTATATAAAAAAGAAAAAACTGAATTGATCAAATGATTAGACATCAAATATGTTGCCTGTTAATTCTCTGCCGATCATATCTCCTATATATATATATATATATATATATATATATATATATATATATATATATATATATGAGCTCTTGTATCGTATAAGCTTTTAGAATTAGTGTAGAAAGTAAATTTACTGCATATACTCACCAAAATAAACACTTTGATTAAATCATGTATCAATCATTGATTCCCTCTTTCAATGAATCTTAATGCATACATGGTTCAGATTATTTTATAACTTGTTTTCTATGTGATTGTGAAGGAAATTTGGCTACAACTATTTTTAGTTATTAAAGTTAATATTTCCCATGTATATTGTGTGTTCCATTTGAAGATTTTAAAATATGCTATGTTATTTTCTTTATCAAATACTGTAAGTAAATTATAAAAGTATAAACACGGTTGAATTGATAGTCGTTGCACAAACAATTTCAGTTTCTCCTCATTTTCCTGAAAAGTCGACTAATGTCATTGTGACATTGTGGCGTTTCGCGAGTTTGATTTGACATCCTGCTTCAGCCTCTGTCAGGCACAGCACATCACTCCAATCACACATCAGGGTGTTGGCTTTGTATTAAGCCTCAATCAGTGTACTTCCATTTCCCCTGACAAAATTAGAAACCTTTTTAATCATATTGCACAAACACTCACTATTGTTAGGCTTGGATCCCATCTCCTTCACGGCGTCCATGCTGTAGATCATAATGCCTCTGGGGATGTTTGGCCAGCTCGTGGGTTTACTGTCGACGACGATGACATACTGCAGCCTCGGCACGTCACACAGTATGGCCTGTGATGTAGATGTAGAAGGGAAGGAGATGGGCGCGTGAGAGGAAAAAGTAATAATGCAAATAAAGGTGAGCTTCCTATCAAGTACTAATGTTACACACAATAAACAACCTGTAATTCAGTGACATATTAAAGTTCAAAGCGGGTACCTTGAGGCGGCTCTGAAGCAGGTCTTTGCTTGTGATGATGTGCGTGACCTCGGTCTCGTTCAGACCGTGGGAGATGGCCGTGGGTCCGAGAGTGGCGTACAGGGTCACGACTGTCAAATTCAAACGCAGTTAAGATGGTCAGTCGTTGCTTTGCTGCGGCTCCAAGATTGTTTGAATGCACGTGCTTGTGTCACTCACGTGGGAAATTGTACATGAAGCACGCTTGCGCTGCCACGATCCACTCTGCTCTGGTCTCACAGAAGATGGCGATGTTACACTGGGGCCTCTGGCCGAGAGCTGCCAGGCCGCTGCCGAAACACTTTGCCGCATGATAAGCTCCCTCGTAGGACAGCCAGTTATAGTTCCCTAGAATTACCTGCACACGACATGCAAAAAGGAACATGCAACATTCAGGATCATTTCCACATACTGCACCGAACATGAAACCTGATACATTTTACAGAGTTGCTTCAGAGCCCGTTTTCAGATGCAGTTTTAGTCAATAATAAATATGAACAAAATGCTTAAATGATTTTAGAAACCTTACACCTACAGTATCCATGTTGATAGAATTAATATGAGCATATGAGCGCTGTTCTGTATTGGAATATAAAATGGTCAACATGCAATATACTGACACGGTTAAATCTGAAGGAGGTCTGATTTTACCAGTCATACAACATCATCCCCCATAAGCAGTCAGTTAGCGCCATCTAGAGGGCTTTTGTCGCCATGCAGGTGTTAATGAGGAGACTCTCTGCTGTGAGACAAAGGACCAGTAACACTCTTCCACCCACATTCCTCACACTGTGCACAGTGGTAGACTGCACAGTCAGCCTCACAGACACGCCAACTTCCTGTAATCCCACAGATTCACCTGAAACTTTATACAGTTCTAAACCTAAATGTGACGATCGTTACAACCCACTGAATGTATCCTTGCTCCTGACAGACTTAAACACTGAATAGATTAATGAAACAAGGTGATACACTGTTTGTTGCATGTATGCAAGGGTCAGTGTCTCCTACCTTCTTGAAGACCTTGCCATTAGGCTGGAGCTCATCCTCCTCACTGAGCACCTCCCTGGTGCCCAGACAGTCTCTCTGCGGAAACCTCACTGCAGCATATTCAAACATTTTGTCCAGGGTGTCCACACCGGGGTGCTGCCATGCCACCAGCTTGTCTTGGTTGTTGATGGCCCTGTAAGGCCCTGCTGGGTGTCTACTAACTGAGCGTGCCTTGATCCGGCGAGCCCGCTCCAAGTTGCTGCCAGCTCCGGAGAAGAAGTACCATGGTATGAAGGTGATGACAGAGTAGACCCAAACCACGGAGCGAAAGACCTGCAGAAGCAGGGGATTCATATCCTCCTTCAACTTCATCTTGGAGTACAAGTCAATGCTGGAGGTGAACCAGAAGCAGCGTCACTGCTCCTTAAATATTTTGACTTTCCTCTGAGCCTGAAGGTTGCAGGCGGTGGTTCCTTTGGGCAGCAAGACAACCAGACCTGCAACACAGACATACCCAACTTAACATTTTAGAAGTATAGTCTGGAATAGAAACGCATCAGCACATTTAAAAAGCAAATGTGAGCTACTGCCTCATGGGTAAATTAATCCTTGCTTGCCCGAAGACCATATCTGCTTAATCTTAGGCCAGTTCTCAGTCAGCACTATTTATTTCACCAGATCCAATGGCCCTGCTGCACAGGCTCCAGCCTTACAGTGAGAGCATGGAGCCAAGACACTTAACATTGTCAAGATTAAATAATAGAGCTGAAATTATTAGTTCATAGATCGAGTAGTTGATGGACAGAAAATGTATTTCCTCCATGAGAAGTTTGATGTTTTTTTCTGTTTTTTATTTGAAGTTTTGCTGTTGTTGTTGGTCTCTTATTTTTTATACAATTTGTAGACAAAGTTAAGACTTAAAACTTTCTAATACATGCGGCTGAATCAAGCAGCAATTGCATTTAAGCCAAGAAAACATTGCATCACCAATTTCTGGAAACACCTTCTCTATTCCTCACCCTTAGTTTGCAACATATACCATGAGGAATAATAACGTTTGATACTACAGTATTATACCATGTGCTCTACTCGTTAATGCTCTCACTCGGCTGTACTACAAAAACTTTTGGATCAACTCCGACCGTCTCCTGGAGAGTTGAGCTATTTGCAGTGTATCTTAGGGCCAGAGGGTAATTTGCATTGAGGCCCTGTAGCCACTGAGCCCGAGCATGACAGAAGTAGCGGCAGTGACTCATTCTGCAGCTTAGAAGGAGAAGTCCAGTGGTCACATGGGAGGTTAGCATAACCTGGCCAGCTAATGTAACAGCACTGAGAAGAATGTAACACTGACCGATCATGAGGTGGGCTGGTCCTCACCTTATGCAAACACAAGCTACAATATTGGTGAGTGTTAGGAGCCAACTAGGCTTCCCAGTACTGGTCACCTGCACTGCCCCACCCTCTTGTGCCCCAGTATCCATGTACCATGGCCAATACAATAATACACTCCTTGGGTGGTGAGTGCAGCAAATATTCCAGCCACTTGCCTATTTTCCCAGCATTTGGCTGGTGGCTAATTGTGTGCCCTGCATCAGAGCTAAAACACACTTATTTGAAAGTGAGTACATGGGTATGTCTATCCATATCTGTTATCAAACTTTATCTAGGGCTGCTACGTAAAATAGGCCAATTCAGTTCCTCTCTGTAATTTGAGCGTAGGATTTTATAGGAATGCAAATTGTCGCAGCTCAAACTAGAACAGCGGCTGCCTTTACTTTCATTCATCTAAAAGACATGCTGCATAAACCAATTGAGCAATTACAGTTGAAGGGTGAACATGTCCCACCTGTTTGGCAGAAACTCACATACCACAACCAACTGACACAAGTCTACTGTATTTGGGTTGAGCAAATGCACAAAGAAGGCACAGGCATGAAAGAGTGTGAACACTCACTCTGTTGCACTTGTAATACAGGTATAGTCAGTATGCACTTTACTTTAAATAAAATAAACCAAGAACAATTTTAACAACAATGTGACACATTATCAAATCAACAAAAAGCTCATTTGGAGAGAAATCTATATACACGTAACACACAAACACACGCGTTAACAGATGCATAAGGATTTGCTATGTAAAGCATAGTGTTAAACAATGGATTAAACCCAGCTTTCTGCAACCAGTGCAATACTACTGTACATACAGAACTATGTGCAAACAAGCAAGTTTACTCAATTGTAACCCAAGGGCAGGAATTTGAGCAAACACACTTGACACTAGAGATACACACCTCTAATTAAAACAGTATTTCAGTGAGCACTGAAGCTTTCAGCCTTACTAACCAAAGTGATCTAGCTCTTATTTGACACTAAATATATTTGATCTACAGCGCCAGTACCCGGGTGAGCATCAGGACAATAGCATGATGCTTAATTACAACCTTTCTCTCCATGATCTTTGAATCTGGTTTCACACATTCCCATCTTATCATTCACACGGTTAAGATAATGCGTCATCTTTTATCTACCTCAGGTGGTATATTCTTCTTTAACCTATTTATTGGACTGTTATCTCATCTGTGCTTTAGGTCTCTTCTTAAGTGGAGCTACAGATACGGTGTCCTATCGATCATGTTTTGATTTGTGTGTCGTTAGTTTAGATAATCGCTATCAACGTCAGATAAGATCATAACACATTGCTGTATGATTAAACAAAAACCCCTAACCTCGTAAGCAGTTAGTTCTCATTGTAACCAGCTCATACCAGAATACGCTTGGCTCCATATGGACCGTGTCTGAAGCTATAAAAGGCTAGCGAAGCAGCATCAAGATTAGCAGCTAGCGGACAGCTCAAAGACATGCTAGCAGCTAGCGAAGCTAACAGCTAGCATTCATGGTCTCGGCTAACCGCTGCAGCTGCTGTTCGCTCCGCTGCTGGTGTAGTAAAAGGAGCTTATTCACCAAAATGCACTTAAAAAGGCGACAAACGTTCGTGACACATTGAAGGCGATGTACCGTTGCTGTGGAGAAAAACCGGTCGCTAACAATCGGTCCCTCTCATCAACATCTGCAGAGCATTCACACAGCAACGCATCCTCACCTCTTTCCTCCAGCGCTCCGCCTGCGTCGCTGCGGGAGTGGACCTTTATTTAACCCTCCACCCAGAGCTCGGACATTACATTGAGATTGTCTATCAACACTGTGTATTTGGCTATAAATCACAACTCCAGGTCTGTCATAAAAACGGATAAAAAAAATGGAGTAAAATTGTAAATCTGAGCCCTGCCAGCCCGGAAGCTATGGAGTGACGTCAGGACAGATCTCTGTCAGCGATTGGTGCACTGGAGGTGGCGCGTGCTTGGGGCAGCGGGGACGTCAGTGAGGTTACCAGCGGTCATCATTTGTCGGGAGAGTCAGTTTCCCAGACACAAACGAGGCGGGTTAAACCCGTGTTGGCGGTTCATTTGAATGGGTCAGCCATAATTCAACCCGCCACTGTGTGTCCCGGTCGGTCACCACGACCCGGGTTTGACAGGTGTCTCTTTTTAATGTAGTGCTATCGAGTATTTACTACACTTTACCAAGAAAGAGTGGGACAGACAGAGTGTGTGACAAAGACTTGAAACAGGAACATAAGTGTATAGTAACTTAGACTACTAATTACCGGTGTGTATTTCATATGTCTGTGTGGGACTGCAGACTCAAGTCTCTGTGGACATTAAACATGATATGAAAGTCTTGTTAGAGAAAAACACCTAAACTCTGAATTTTCCTCCATTTGTAGACCGAAAGTAAAGTAGCCTCAATCTTACTGCATTAAGGGGAGAGCAGTGATTGGCTCCCTTAATACAAACGACAAAATGCATACTTTTATATTTATCAGTGTGGTTCTTTTTCAGTTACAATGTGCTTTCTCAGAAACGAAGAGACACCAGAGGATGCTAAATGGAGTGCAAAACAGCTTAGTTAAACCAAATTTGTCAAATAAAAGTTTATTTAATTTAAATGCCTAAATATTTGTGAAGTAAAGTATGATTTTTTAAAAACGACATGCAACCACCAGACATGACAGGTGGCGAGATGGTATTTTCTATCCTGTCCTATAAGAAGTCACCCAAAATCTAATATAATCCAAATTTTATCCGAGATATTCAGTTAGATAGTATAGGCTACTTATTCAAATGCTATTCATTGAGATGGTACTCACCCTGGACACCCACTAAAAAACCACTTGCCCTTAAAAAGGATGCCATCTTTAAAAACTCTTACTCTGCTGTCATAAAGTTCATTTTCTACTTGGCTCAAACCCACAGTAATGGTAGCTTTATGTATGAGCATGCTAAGTACAAGTTGAAAGTTTAGACAATTCAGTAATAAGTAAAATGTACTCTCAGCAGCTGGTGGTGCTAATGCACATTTTTCTCATCTTTACTTCAGGAATACCTAACTATAACTCACGGGTATAGTTATCAGGATTTGTAGTGGCTTTTGCACGACAGTCTCAATTGTATTTAAAAGTATAGACATAAAGATGCTTTATCATGCTTTACCACAATAAAGTTTCATAAAAACTATTGTAGTATTAGTCATTTGCAGCACTGATTCAGGGGGTGTAAGAATTGTCAGCAGTGCTGTCAGTTGTTTTGGACTTAGAGTACAGTGAAAGTTTTCCCTTCCTCTCAGCTGTCTGTCTCACCACTATTTTTGGCCTTAGCTCTTTGTACTTCTCCCTCAGCTTGTCCCTTCTGGCCTTGTTTCCTTCGCAGTCGAGGTTCCATCCTCTCATTTGTTTGCGTCAGTATGGGATGACGAGGGAGAAGAGAACGATCAAGATGAGGAAAAATGGATGTGGAGTGGATAGATGGAGGAGGAATAGCTGCAGCCAGCGAGGAAGCTGGGGGAGGACAATCCTCAATCCCCAGATTTAACTTAAAACCCCTAAAAAAATCAAATTATAAATCAAAAACACAGACTGATACTTAAGGATATTTTTTTCCTTATACTACAATCATCTGACAGGCATCATCCCTGATAGAGCTGCATGCAACAGTGTGTTGATTAGTCATACTGCTACTGTTGAAAATCAATATAGCCTGGTCCCATGACAGTTACTGGTGGCCATTTGAAAAAAAAAGATGGCTCTACATTGTAACTGAACTAGCAAGCAATTTAAAAACAAGAACAAACAAACAAAGTTATGTTTATATGAAATGTATTTTTTAAAATAGTTTTAATGATTTTACAATTTAAACTGTATGTATGTATGTATGTATGTATGTATGTATGTATGTTTCATCGTATCCTTGCATTCACACTTTTATACACCAGAGGGAGTTAGTGAGCATTTATTCTTTAGTAAGGGCCTTGCACTGCTCTCTTTCATAATGCTATTTGTCTCAACTTGACAGAGTGAAGATCCAACAGTGTTTGCATGTGAGTGTTCAGGACAGAAGCAAGTCTTTTTTTGACATCTGAAGGGCAACGTCTTGAAAGTGAAATGGCTCGGTAAGCTGTGTTTGACACTTTGACCCTCAACATTGATCCCTTATCACTGCTCTTTGGAGAGTTGACATGCATATTAGGCCATATGTCTGCACAGATATATTCTCTAAAATACATGCACGCAAACACACAAATTCATGCCTCTTTTTTCTCACACACACACACACACACACACACACACACACACACACACACACACACACACACACACACTTGGGCACAAACATTCACACAAGCATGTGATCACATGACGAGACCAGAGTGCGTATGGTGATAATCGCTCTCCTCGGGCTATGTCTTTGAGGTCATCTTGATGGGACACAAACCATCAGAAGGCAGATGTTACGAGCGAAAATGGAACACTTTCATCTCCTCTGTGAAATGTGTGTGTCCAATCTGATAATGACACAAGGACACACTTTGCACTCACTTGAAGGCAAGACACAGGAAGAGAGGAAATGTATCCTGGAACTGTCTGTTTCTGGGTGACCCCGTCTGTCTTGACAGCATGCACAGCGGCTAACAACTGTTCCCTTGGGATCCACCTATGACAACCACTGACGAGTGTCATGTGACTTGTCAGGGTATTTACTTAATGATATGCTTCTTCTAAGTTCTTGATGCTCCACACACTAAAGACCACAATGAGACTTGACTTAAAACTCTGTACTTTTGCAAGATGTGTCCCACTAAGACATCCCTGTTACATTCCAGTCTTTTAAAGTAAAACAAGTGAACTAATAACTTTTGAGCCCCTGGCTGATTATGAAGGCCTTTGGCGTCCAGTTGGACTTATAAGGAAAGGGAGGGGGGGAAGGGGTTTGCAGGGGGATTATGGAACAAAAGGATCCTTCTCTGTCATCAAAGAGGATCTGCTCCCAACTCATCCCCTGCTCTGTGGCGACAGCTTTTTATTTTTCGGGAGAGAGGGAATGACGGCTGCAGGGAGGAGGGAGGGTGGGCTATAAGTGGTAGAGTTTGATGGTAGGGGATGCAGATTTCAAAGTAATCTTTAACTCTAAGCCCTGCAGACCCTGTGAAATGAAACTCTCTGCCCCAGACACAGTGTTGCCTATGGCTCCCAGTGGAAGTCTGCCACCCCTCCTCTTTCTCAAGCTTTTGTCACGGTGGCATTTAAGTGGCATTACTCACTGACTGGATGACCCAAATGAAGGAATCCCTTTGAGAGAACTGAAAGAGATGGATTTTAACTCCTGGGACCAGTGTCGCCTCTTAAAACAACACTAAGTACAGATAAATACCCACTGTGTTATTGGGATCCAGCAGATACCTAATCTAAATAGAGACATTTTCTTGAATCATAAGTGAATTGACAGAGGTGTTTGTACTTTTATAAAACATGTGAAATGATGGGCGAGAAGAGAATGTGTTTGGGGCATAATTTATATAAAACAAATCCACAGAAATTCAATAATACATTCTTTTATTGCACACTTCCCTGTAACCTAAGACCTGGGCGTGGACCAAGCTAATAGTGGAGTTCACATCTTGCATTTTATATGACTTTGAAAAGCAAACTTAAGCCCATCAGATGATTTAAGGGCCCAGGAGGTCATCTGCACTTCCATTGTCTCACTACTTTACAACACTGCTTATTTTGGCCCCCTACCCCAAAGTTACTTCTCTCATCTTGTGAAGGCTCATGTCCCCTCAGGGTCATTGGCCTGGGATCCCCTGCAGACCTGGTCCACCACAGGGAGTCAATGTAATGACAGAAGAGGTGGTTATGGGATAAACAGGTTCTGTCACTGGCACAATAGGTTGTGTTGTTAATGACGGTGATGGCACAAGAGGATTATAATAAATCAGTCACACACCGACAGCTCGACACATACACACAGTACACATACTATATACCTGTTTGCACAGTAGCTTCCAAGCACCTTATGAAATCTGTCATATGAATAATATCAGAGCAGGAAACAAATGTGGGAGGAGAGTATAATGAGCAGTCTTCCTATTATTCAAGTCAGTGTTTGCTAATGTTGCTAATCAGCAAGACCAGTTAAAGTGCTCTTTCAGTGATTTTAAGCCTTCTGTTCTGTGCAAACATGCCTGTACAAGCAGGAAGCTGAAGTGCATTTAAAAATTTGTAGAGTTGCATACAAAAGGTTCATTTTGTAAAATAAGCAAAGACAAGCTTCACACATACTGTATCCAAACCTATGTATTAGTTTACTTTTACTCCATTTGCTGTAGATATGGTTTTATATCGGATTTATGGACTACAGACAGTAAAGTCAACTTTTTTGCAAGAGATTTTGAGTCATAGTAGGAATGGAACAGGTTAACGTTAACACTGGCTCTGACCCAGTAAGCCATGGCAGTGTGACAGCGAGTCAGCATGCACAATACCAGGATGCTGAACCATCATAAATAGTGTTATTTACACCTGTGACATGAAATAATATTTTGGGTAATTGAGCTGAAGACTTGGACTTTAATGTGTGATATTCTCTCAGAATTTGCACTGGATGGTCACATATTGGAACCCAATGCAAGATCATTAGTTAGAGCCATTCCTCCATGTGCACAAGTACTGACTATAAGGATGTCTAAGCACATAGACCCAAATAAACAGAGTTCCCTTTTAGAATACTGACCAGGCTAAGTGTGTGTTCCCTCTGTAGCCAGAGGATTACATTACATAAGAGAGGGAACTTAAGGTGCTTGCTTCAGTTTCAGGTCTGTACTTTATCATACACATTAGCCAGGTGAGAATGAGCGAGAACAGGGCGAGAACACTGGCAGCAAACAAACAGACAGGGCCGACGGGAGGCGTCGTGTTATTGAAGTTGTGTACAAAAATGAGGCCCAGAAACAAGAGCACCACCATGGACAGGAAGGAGAAGATGGCGCACGCACAGCCGGTCGCAAACGCAACCTGTTTGCAAGTCTGACAGCTGTCGTCGCCCTCTTGGGAGGCGACCAAAGAGACGGCTGGACCCGTCTGGACATCTGTGTTTGATGAGTGCACGGGCTCTTGCGTTTGAAGCGGGAGCGCATCGGTCATTGCGGTGTTGTCGGGGAGGTTGTGAACCCGATATTCCGGTACCGGAGTTCGGTGGCGACACAAGGGGCAGCCGATTCTCCATCCTCGACCCTCCCGGGAGTGCAGAGCGTCGAGGCATTGCAGACAGAAGGTGTGCGAACAGCCCAGCAGTTTGGGAGTGTGGAGGTCCAGGTCGAAGTAGTTGTAACATATTTTGCACTCGTATCCCTCACTGGGAAACGAGTCACCCGCGTCAGGCGGAGCGGAGCCAAGTTCGCCTCCCGCGTCGACCGCCTCCGCCATGTTCCGTCTAACTGGGCAAAGGAAACTGCTTCATTTTACACTGATGATCCAATTCCCAGAGCATACCGAGGAGGATTTCTGGAGGAGAAAATGGCCAGGAGGAAATAAAGACGTATGAAAGTGAGAAAGATTCTCTCTGCATCCCCCGGTATGAGTCAGTGCCCCAGCTGTCGCAGCTCCATCCGGTTGTGCGATCAGACACATGTTGTGTAACCGGCCCGGGGTATAACCCGTGGACAGGGACAGACTATAGCCTTTATTGCGATCATATTACCAGAACTAAATCTCCGTTTACCGCAAAAAAACAAACAAAAAACCCCCCCTGTCGATAGACTAGTGCAAATTGATTTCCCAACTTGGTGTTTGCCACCAGGTTGATTTGTCACAAGAGTGGGTCATGTGTACAAGGTGGATTTAATAGGCCTATTTAACCGTATAATCAGAATTTAGCGCCTGCAGCGGCAGAAAAGTGCGCCATGGTTTTTGTCCCTCTGCCTTTCAGCACCACAGGCAGTGGACAGCTCCGAGCAGCGCCGTGACACCTCCAGCTGCAGCTCACCGCCCTGCTGTCCTTCATCTTCATACGCTTTATGCCCATATGTAGATATCAGTCTATATGTTTGATCTGTTGCCCTCTTGCATTTGCAAAATGGTGTTCCCCTTTCGTGCAAGTGGTACATGGCCTCATCTTCTACATATTTCCACAGATTTCTTTACTTCCCATAGCTCACTAACCACTCCATACGACCATATTTCAGCTAAAATGTGATTCCACATCTACAAACAGTGCTTTGACTGAAATTTTTTTGTATTTTTGTTACCATTTCTTTCAAAGGCAAGCCATGAATATAGACCTGTCTTACACAACTTAATGTTTGTAGTCGGGAAAATCATGGGGTGGGATGAGAACCAGAGGGGCATTTGACCAACTTTGCAGGAGAGCCAGAATAAAAAATGCCCATACTTTGTCCTGACTGTGTTTATTTAAAATCGACCTTTTATATTAAAACTTCAAAACATTTGGATGACTATATATATATATATATTTTTTAAACCTTTTAAAAAAAAACTTATTTTAAGTGCACTTTCGCCCTTTTAGCTCCAAATAGTTCAGTAAGTCTTTTGTTTTTTGATAATTATCTCTTGATTGGTTTAGAATTTACATGTGCCTTTTTGGCAGTAGAAAGAGCTCATCAAGCTCATCACTCACATGATAACATCTGAAGCATCCATACTATAAATAAACCACTGTCACATTACATCTAGATATGACTTTGTAGACCTTAAAATGTACTTTGAAATATTCTTGTGAAAGCAGAAATAATCGAACACATTGATTCCCCTGCTGGAAAATCAATTCATTGGTGATTTCTGCTTAACAGACAGTATGTCATACAGCCAATTTATACTCCATGATTCAAAAACAACATTATGTAATACTTCTTCACCCATGATAGCAAAAGACAAATCCTAATGAAGTCAAGTAATCTGTCTTTAGACAACTTCACCATGAAAACCAGATTAGATAAATATCCCTGTGAAAAAGAGGTTGGTGGGTTTCATGGTAGCAGACAGACAACATACAGTATGAGCTGTACGATGTGCCCCCCATGAATTGAGCTAACATGTGCCCTCTAGTGGCTGAATGTATTCATGCATGTTTGTGCAGTGAATGTATGCAGGGTTAGGCAGAGACATGTTGTCTCTTACTGGATTACAGATACATATAATTACATGCAATCCATCACATTTGAGCAGTTTAGTCAGTGCAATGTGTTACAGTTGTTAAGGAAAACAGAATAATCAGATTAAAGACGCTTCTTTAAAAGTACTCGTTACATTAGGCCTCCTTTAAGAAGCAAGTTTGGAAGGTGAGAAGACAGTCGGTGACAAAGATAACATACATGATTGTTGTTTAACTTTACAAATGTAAAATAATTCAAAAGCAATCAAATATATTCAAGTATGGAAACATAATGGGAATATTTAAACTGAATGTCTGAAAAGACAAATATAGAACAATGGCAAGGTTTTTAAACTTGTTTTCAGTTTCAAAAATGTTTATCTAATTGATATTTAATGATATAAAGACAATTCAGTCTGTCTGTCAAGTGATATTTGACATATTTTATTTTGATTTTATGCTGTGTTTTATGTGTATATATTGCAAAACACCATTTCCAGCAAAGGACCTGAGTGTGTCGTAAATATTTTGTGATTTCAAAGCAAAACATTCCAGATCTGCAGATATTCACCTATCATACAGCATTATTATTCACACTTGCTTACTTC